GCATTCTTTAAAACCATTAAGTTAACACCTTATTTCAACCATCCTCTTGTATTAAACTAAACAGTACTAATGGAGGTGTATTTCAAGAGTTAATTGCATAATTTTTAAATGGCCTTCACTGTGCTTTTAGTTTAGCCTACCGTCCATGGTATAGCAGACAATGATGTCACCAGTTGGGACAATGATGCCACTAATTGTGACAATGATGCACCAATGAAGACAATAATGTTGACAATGAAAGAACAATTGTTGGGGATTCTATTGAATTTGTCTTCTTTAATCTATTGTGTTTATACAAATCTTGCATGTTTAAATTGACCAGTTATAATAAACCCTGAACTGCCTTTTGGCTTTTGATCATGAGAGTCCATGAAAAGAAATGATTGTTAATCGTCTCCTTAATACTAGTAACAGATTTGGGATTTGTATGTTAAAAATAAAATTGTATAAAACTTAATAAAAAAAAATTTTAAAATACCACTTTGAGTGGATATTTCTAACAGAACTTATTTCGACTCTTTTCAACTTTTGTATCCATGCGGATTGGTTGGAAAGTTGTGATTCCAGTAGACTGGAACACTTGTGCAGCTCGTGTCTGTTTTTCCCCTGCCCAGAGCCCGCGCCCAACCTATCCATATCATGAGAAAATGTAGGTTCAAAATGGACGACTTTCCTTGGGAAAAATATGTTTAATAGTAATTTGCGTTCATGGCCTTTCTAATCAAGTCCGCAGGTAGAATTTCTAAAGGTAGCTTTCTAATTTTTCGCATTAGGCAAGTTCTTCCCTCCCACCTCATCCCCACCATGGTTGAGGGAGATTTTTAGGATACTGTATAACACCTAAGATATGGAAATGTCATCCTAACACATTAAAAAAAAAAGCCAAATTTCAAATGTTGATTTACAGTAAGGTCTTATTTCACACCAATGGAGTATTGATAGCATCTAATTTTTCCCTTGACTTCTTAATACCTTAACAATGACCACTAACATATTGATGTTTTTATTGTTAATTGACAAAGTAATTACAAAAACAGAGTAGTGCAAAAACATAAAATGCAATCAATATTAATCATTGATTGAAGATCAGTGGTTAATAATTTTAAATTGGATTTTAATTTGGACTTAATGTCCTTGTGACAGAATTGGAATGACCAATTTGGCCATGAAATTTCTGCTTGGCCCCTTTAAACAATGATAATGAGTGGCATTTTTTTGGTCTTTTTATGGCCATGCAACTTGAATTTACGGTAGTCAACATTTAAACTTAATTGTAGCAAAAGTATAATAGCCAGATTTTTTTTTTAAATGGCCATTTTACTATGAGTTTTAGATTTAAAGTTGTAATTTTAGAGTTGTAAAATAGTGTGTCTCTTCAAAGTAGCCGATTGTAAAACCTAGTTGTAACTACTCAAAAAACAAGCATAAATCCAATATGAAATTGTTTACACTAGGTATTTTCATCTGTTTGAAATACAGTGCAATTCCAATTCGAGACCACTTTTTCAAAGAACAAATGCCAATTGTCAATCACAAAGCTAACCCTCTAAGTGGAAACTAAACCCCAAGAACACCCCAAATTTTCAGGTCCCTATTATGGTTTCGAAATTTTGAGTTGATTAGAATTTTTTTTATATTTTGGTATTACAGTGGGTGCATTCATCTACCAGCAAAGTTGAATAAAATTTAAATATTTGTTATGAGCAAAATTTAATAAAATAAACTGAAAATAATAGAGTATACTCATATTATAGTTTGTTTATAGCTGGTGGTATATTTTACACGAAAAAATTCTAGAATAAAAATTATACAATACAGTAGAATGGGAAGCACTCAAGGTTATTTGTAGTGTAATGTATGCTAATGAGCATATTTGTGTGTGTAATATGCACTAATGACTTTGTTTCATGTGTGAGTTCCCTCCATATTCCTATTACCCTACTTTATCAGCAGTATGATTGATAAAAATCCATGCATCGTTAGTCACATGACCATATGTTTGCATGCGATTGTTCCAAATATCTTATTGTCCGACTATTAAAAGCGTTTTATCGAAACGGAAAAGTATACAACCTTCGTTTATCGTTTCCAAAGTATTTTGCCTCTATGATGTATGTAAAAAAAAATGTCCACTCATGGTACTAGAGACCACTCAATGTAGAATTGAAGTGCAGCGTAGGTAGAGTTAAGTGTTGGGATAACGTATTTGCTGTGTGTTATACAAACTGACCTTGATAAGTGGCGCCAATGAAATTGTATGTTTGTAAAGTAATTTTATGTTTGAAGTTATCTCATAAGCTGTACTGGGAATTTTGACTTGAAGTAGATTTTGTATTGTTATTGTATGAAAATACATTGTTCTTATAAGAAAGTCATATTACAGTGGAGGGTCCAGACGAGAGACCAGCCCCGCCATGGTAGGACTGATAGAATTATATGTCTATGGTATTTTTGGATGGCCGGAAAATGGCACTCTTAGACAAAAAAATTTGAATGTACATACAATTCAATTCAAATTTATTTTTCCCAAAGGAAATTATTGAAATGTTTGCAAAAATAATTAAAAACTCATTTAGTCCTTTTAAATGTTTTAATTAATATGGCATCTTTATGAGATAAAGAATTGAAGTTTTAAGATTTAGAAATAGCAGCTATGATATTTCACAAGTTAGTAAGTATCCAGTACAGTATTAAAGCAATTTTGACTAACTAGAGTACAGTACAATTCTTGCTGTCAATGGCCATACTGGCTATACAGCCAAAAAAGTCCAAATACAGATGCCTCTCTCAATGTAAGACCTCTCTAATTTGGGCACATAGAAAAAAATTTGATTATCACTCTTAAAAAAAAAAAAATTGTTGAGGGAGGGATGTTTTTTTTAAATTTTTTTTTTTAATCGGAACAATATATTATTTCGCTTTAGTTTTTATCAATGAGGGAGGGACTGTTTATATTTGGTCTGTAATAGTAAATATTGTATAAAAACTGGTTTAATTATATAGTTTTTTTAAAGAAAATGTATTTGAAGTCACAAAATTGCATTGTTATTTTTATGCGGTTGAAATAATTGATGCGGCAAAAAAAATTTTTTTTTATTCCCGCATCAATATTTCCCGAATTTTTGACGCGGACGGGAGTAACAATCTAATAAATTTTTCTATTTACACTTAGAGACTACCTCCAATTAGAAGCCACTTTTCTGTGGTCCCAAATTCATAAATGTCTTATCTTTAATCTTATTAGAGACCAAAGCTTCTAAAGACCATGGAAAATCTTGGTCCTGTAAGCGGTCTTTAATTGGAGGGTGTCCTGTATACATTTATTGTATCACAGCCAATAGATAGGTGTTTACAATAATAGGCATAGAATAATAAGCCCCCAATAAAAATAATTATTAGTTATATCACCCTATCTGGTCTGGAAAAGTGATGAGGTAGGGAAGTTTTTTATTTTTATTTTATATATTTTGCTAAAGCCAAATATCACCCTTGAGGTGTTTGCTGGTGCATAGATATTCAAAGTAAAATACTAGATTGAGATAATCTATACAAACAATATCTACATTTACTAAAAAAAAAAGAAAATTAAATTAAAAAAATCAAAACAAAAATTTTGAATTTTTTTTTTTTAATACTTTAGGAGGCATGTGGGTGAGGGTGATATTATTTAGCCTAATTGTGAACTTGGAATACTGTAATACATCAGTTCATTATCAATTTAATGATAGTAAAAAAATTGTATAATTTATATTTTTATATGATATGATGTTGATGAATAATGAGAATACTTTTGACACTTGTAACCAAACACAGAAGCATTGCAATATTATTATGATTTCAAGAAACAGCATGTCATTGGCATATTGCCAGTAAGATGTACAGCACATCCCAGAAGCCACCTTGTTTTTTTTGACCAATCAATTCTGCTCAATTTCTTTAGTGGAATTTCATATTTGTTCCACTCTGCTTCTCCCATATTGATAAAACTCCAACCTATATAAAGTCCCACCATGGTCATACATATGGGTACTGTACTTTAATAAACAAGTATTCCGACCTATATTTATTTAAAAACAATTATTTAATAGCACTTTAGAGTGTCAAATTTATTTAGTTAGTTATTTAGTCCTTTTAAAGAGGTTTAGCAAGCTTGAATTACTAAGTTGTTTAACTGCTAGATTTGGTTTAATTTATTTGTTTTATTTGAAAAAAGATGTATTTTTCTGACTGTGTTGAGCAAAAATGTAAACTCACATCTGTATAAAATTATATTTTTTTCTTTTTATATTTATTCTGTTAGTATATTTGTTTATTAACCAATTATTACTAATTTTGTTTAATTTGTTACATTTTATAGTTTGATTGCTTTCCAATTATCTTTATCTTTATTGTTTTTTTTTAAATAATAATAGAATACTTGTTACTGAACTGGAATGAGTTATTTTTTTAGACATGAAAAAGAAATTACAGGATTCGATCTCAGCATCCTAAATTTGGAAGGCAGGCACCCTACCCTCCAAGTCACAGCTTTACTTATTACATAAGCATTTTGCATTTTGCACAACTGTTTGACATAAATCTAAATAGTAATCGGATTAACAATTATTATAAATAATTTTTCATTACCCTATTCTGTAGCTATTGTATACATTTTATTGATTTTTAAGATACAAAGTAAAAATTCAATTATATGTGATTGATCTTAGCTGACGCCATAAGTACTGTAATGATACTGTAAGTTGTTATTGTAGAGTGGGAGTCTACAGTATGTTACAACACACTGTAAATCAATATTAATATGTTTTTAGAATTTTGTGTGAAAGGTTTCACATAATGCGGTACTTTCTTAGTCACAATCATTACCGCGCACAAAGAGAATTTGTGTCTAATGTACTCTTTCAAGTATGCTTATACTTTGGGCAATGGTAAGTTATGAAGGCTAGGAGAATAACCCATGGCTCCAGCGTCACTGTGTGCTGGATTGCGTATTGGCGTTCTCCATGACTACTTTACCAAGACGAACTGAAATGAACAAGGTAATCCCCTACTCTTCACAAAGATTCAATGGGTTCTTTAAAGTGTACAGTACTATACATGAACCGCATGTTGTGTACACTGGACCTTTTTAAATTCTTTATCTGAGAAGACTTGGTTACTACCAACTGAACCCTGGGAAAGCAGCAGCCGAAACCAGTGCCGATGTTAAGGTTGTAGCTAGCAAAGTGACGCCCTTGCCTTAAGCGCTCTTCCACTCAATTCACCCAGTATATTTAATAATATTTATTTAATTTAGGAATTAATCGCAATTATCAACGTTTTCACAATTGTACAAACAAGTACTTTTTTTCGGTACCCCCTCCCTCTCTTCTAAAAATGTACATTACAAAATGTTGATTTTGTAAAACTATTCTCTTTCTTTTTTTGTAAAATCAACTTTTAAAGTACTGTACTTGGTTACTTAAAAATGTATATATCCATGGTTGCATTATAATTGGTCATAAAAGTCTATTAATTTAAATAATGTATGTTATTTTAAATCAACATTTTTATGATGTAAAAGTGTACAAATTTGTCTACCCCCTCCGCCCTAGAATACTGTTTGTAGACTTGTGAAAATGTTGATAATTGTGAACGACTCCTTATTGTTGATGAATAAGTTAACACTGATTTTACATAAAGTAACCACAGAGATACAGTATTTACCAGATAATGCATCTCTGGCTTGTCCAGTAATACTTCAGAATCATAATTAAATAGGTATTCAGTGATACAGTAATTTTTAAATTACTGTAGGTTGATTTTTAAACGGTGGAGAAGTTAATGTGTGACTTCGTGTTGATTAACTAATGACAATAACGTATGTTATAGATTGAACAAATTATTGAAGAAATGAGGTTGTGTAAAATATACTGATTAGCTCTTGTGCAATGTGCCTAATGAATAAAGTGTATGCATGAGTTTTTTGGACCATGGAGAAAATTGTTTAGAACTAATTCCTCCGTGGTTGAACTAAATGTACAGTATACTGTATTGTATGCAGTATACTCGCTGATCCTTATGTAGCATTATATAGTTTTACTTAATTACGTCCATTTGTTTAATTCCGAACAAATTTTTTTCAGTATTGTAATGCATTCAAATGAACATTTTCAAAGAGAAAATATACAGTTTTTTTTCTTACGATTCATTAATTATTTTTAGTGTTCTGTCTATAGTATTGATAGACTCATGGCATTCTTTAACATTCTGCATGTTTTTCATTGGAATATGGTTTTTGATGATCTACTGAATAATTCGTGTTAGAAAATACCTAGATAGATGCTTTAATTTTTATTACTCGATCATCATTATTTAGCCAGTTGTAGCAGTTTTACTTTATAGCTATTTAAATGTTTTATTTTCAACTATGAAATTACACGTTGTTAATGTACCGTACCCCTCACTAAAATTGTTGCAAAAGACCAATCTTTTTCTAAGCTGGTACCTATCTCTTGGATTGAACTTCCTCTTCACCCCCATAAAAACCTATTGTCAAATAACCCAGTTAAAACAACACATAAATTACATCTTTTATATTCTTAATAGCTTTTGGGGGTACAGTCTGTCTCTAATGCATTAGAGAGAAATGTCTTATTGACTTGCTGTCTGGATGACCTGAACTGAATTACATTGTCTTATGTACATATCCTGATGTTCTTTTAAGTTGTTCTTTTTCCTTGTAATTTTTCTGATTAAAAAAAAAATTTATAGGACTATTTGTGTTTGTTGAATGCTTTGATGTATGATATTGAAGTTAAGCACTGTGGACACTGCTTTATAAAAACAATTTTTAAAAAATTATTAAGAAATAAAATCCATTTAATTGTAAAAAAAAAATATTAAAGAAATAATAATATCTCTTATTATTGTGTTTTTCAGGTTTATCAAGACCTTGGTACCGAGATCCTAGATGCATCGTTTGCTGGTTACAATGCCTGTCTGTTTGCCTACGGACAGACAGGCTCCGGCAAAACGTATACCATGATGGGATGCAAGGTATGCAGTCGTGATCATTGCAATATATATTACTATATTGAATAATGTACTGTGTTGTCCATGTTGCAAATTGAAATAAATTTGATGTGATCTGATTTTGATCATTAACAAATCCTTTACCTTAACAAAGGTGACATAAACCATCGGTGAACTGAGTGCACCTTACCGCTAAGCCCCGCCCCTTGGATATTGTTGATAAGGTCCCATAAAACAACAGTATTGAAACATACATGTGCATTTGTGAGACATCAGAAGAGTTTGTAGAAAATGCGCCTGTTGCTGGCTCGGTTCTGATTGGTCAGTTGTTTAGTTTTGATTGACATTCCATTGTGGTAACACACTTTACGCAAAAAAATCACTGTCAGGCCGCAATTTTGCCCACCTGTACTTTAAAACATTAAATTACATCAAATCACAAAACCTCAAAATCATAATAAAGCTATTTTTTTTCCTCTTTAGGTGAAATTCCAACTTTTTATTGCTCCGTACTTTCACATAATAAACCTAATTAATAAAGGTATAAAGCCTTTATAATTAAATAGATTATATTATCTATGAATAATTTTGATACTTTACAAGACTTTTATGCATTCTAATGTTTATTAACCAAATTATAATTTAATGTACTTTTAATCTATATAAAATATTAAAATAACTTAAAATTTTAATAAACAAATTATAAATAGTATTTATAGAGAATAATGTCATTAGTACCAATTTAGTTTTAGCATTAATATGTGTATTTTTGATATTTTTTACAAGACTTTTAATATGCATTCTAATGTTTATTAACCAAATTATATTTTAATGTACTTATGAATATTTTGATCTGTAAAATATTAAAATAACTTAAATTTTCAATAATACAAGTATTAATGCTAAAAATAAAGCGGTGCTAATGACATGTAAACACAACTTTTATGTAATATACAATACATTACAGTATTGTGTTTTTCTCTAAAAACACATATAAAGAATTTGTGCTATCTCCTAAATCAATAGTACAGGGTAGCCTGGTATTTGGATACCTGTACATTAATATTCAGGCAGAAGCATGCAACCATCTCTGTTCCCTGAGGAGTATTGCGTTCTTAGCAATGTGTGTGTGCCAGTTTTAATACACATTACATTTAGAATGTTTGAATTCTATCAGGCTCCCATGATACCCCTGGGCTGAGTGAGAGACAAAGCAGATAAAGTGCTTTGTCCAGGGATACATTTAAAAAGAAGGTCTTAAACCTTCATGCCTTTGTTCATACATTGATTCATTTCAAATCATGTAATTATAATTAACATAATTGATAATGATAAAAAATGATATAATTTATTGTTTACATCAACTCTAATTAAAGTTATATCATATCCATAGATAAGGTCATTAACATAATTTATGCAGATAGCCAAACTGAATGATTGAACATTCAGTAACAAGATTTTTAACTATCATGCTTTGGTTCATTCAATCATTCATTCATTTATAATAGCTATTATATTTATAATGATAAACATAAGTGATAATGATTACTATATAATCCATATATATTTTATATACTGCACCCACTATAATTAAAATTATATCACGTATTAGCAACTCATTAGCATAATTTGTGTAGGCAGCCAAATTGAACCACTTAAAGATTTATTAATTTTACAATAACAAAACCAAAATGTTTACTACAAGTAGTAGTGAAAGTGAGTAATGTTTATGAATTTGATACTCTTGGTGACAGGTTACTTACAATAATGATAACATTCCCAACACATATTAAGCCAATTATATATCCTACAAGTCTTAATCTCATGAATCTTGTTAATTCACTAACCTGACAGTAAGCATATTGTACTGGTACAGTAGTTGTGATAATAAAGATTATTATATTAAACAATGATAATCATTTTATGTTAGATGTTATTGATTCACTTGTGAATGTTACAAGTCATCCAGGTAGGATGATTATTGTACTGTATTTTATGATACTGAACAAAATATTATTTAATGAGATATACAAAAAGAAAGCCTGTCACATTAAACTGAATTATGAATAAAGTTTGTTTGATTTTTAATGTTCTAGAAACACTAAATGATTATAATAATTATGATTAATGGCTGTCAGACTGTGCAAGATATACTACTGTGTTTAATTATAATATGATTTAATAATATTATTTCATTGTTAGAAAAGCTTAAAGCATTTGGCTAAGACTAGAGTTAATATTCGTGCTTCCCTTTCGTAATACTCTGGTTCTAATCTAGCTAGAAACCGAAAGGTCCACTGATTTATCCCAGATAAGATAGTATAGCCTAAAACATACTCCAAATATCGAAATGCACGCCATCGTGTCGGGATTCAATATTTCAACAATTATTATGTCATCATCAGGAATCCAGCTAGTGTATTAAGTTTTTTAATTGACATCCAATTGCTCAGTTCCTCCAATAATCCTCATGTGAGAGTTAGGTGTGAAGGGATTAATACATTTTACTATGATGAATGTATCCGTTACCTGTCTTTGCTAATGCTGCATTGTAGCTTCCGTAAGTCCCCAGTGTCCCTGCCAAAATTTCCAATTTGAATTTGAAATGCAGTAGGACAAATAAATTAATATTTTATTTTCAAAAATTGTGTTATTCATTGCATACTTAGGCCATGTAAAATAAAACAATTGGTTAGCATCCTTATGTTATCAATTTTCATGGTAGGGAGGGGGGTTTTTTTTTTTTTGTTTTTTTTTTTGCATCGAACATGAAAAAAGAGTTTCGCAAGGAAAAACAGCAAAAAAAGAAGAATAAAACAACAGAGACCAAAATTACATACAAGCATCTATAGCAAGCAGAAACTTTACCTATGAATAACGGCGTCATAATACAATTATCTCTATGTATTATCATGCACAATTCACTCCTCAACACAACAGGCATCATGGATACCATATGTGGCTACAGTATAGGCCTATAGAACAACAGTAGAGCATAGAACTGCAAGTGGACTGGCTAGTGTGCGGATGGGTGGTAAACAAACCTATATTAAATTGAGTTTGTGAGTGTATTGTAAAAAAAAAAAAAAAAAAATCGGGTCGGTGGCCTTTTTGATGGTAGGGAGGTTATGCTAACCAATTATTTTATTTTACATGGCCTTATTATATAATGCCTCACCAGTGCTATGCAAAACCTCTGAGAATGTGTCCTACAGTAATTGGAAAATCCACTTTACCAGCTTGTCCTTTTAGGCAAGACTTTTTTAACTTATTCTTTAGAGAACCCCGCCACCCGCCAATAATGATGATTTCGAATAAAAATAACATTTTGTTTTTGGTTAATCAGCGCACCCGCTGCCACAGAAAATTGGGAATTAAAAAAATTCCTTTTTTTATTCAATTCAATTCAACAAAACATTATTTTCTTCCAAAGGCACTTGAAAATACAAAATTGCCAATACAAAAGTACAAAAATTGGAAGAAGGCCAGGAGCAGAGAAGTTGTTTGTAAAGAGACAAACATCTTGTTAGGCCACCGCTGCATTTGAGATCTCCAAAAATAAGATATTTCTTCCTAATTACATGAATTTAAAGCATTTAACCATCCCATCACTACATTGTTTACTTTTACTAATAGTAATTTTTTTTTCTTTCCTCCATCTGGATGTTTTTGGCAAAACTATTGGCTAAATAAGAAAACATTTAAAAAATGTTATTTTTTAAAAATCATATTCTCTTCTCTGACGATCTTTAAAAATATAAGTTCGTGAAACAACTTATAAAAAAAGTCTCATCTTGGCTTAATAGTTGGAGGAGTGTCTTCTTGGGTTCCAATCTTATTGGTTATTATAGGCCTAAATTTTTTCAATATTATTGTAATACATTATGATATTTTCAACACAAAATTTGATGACAAAAAAGGTTGATGTTCCGGGTCCATGGATTTTCTTAAAAATGCATCCATGATGAACCAAAAATGTCAACCTTTTTTTGTCATTAAATTTTGTGTTGAAATGGTAAATATCATTTTATCAACATTTTATTATGTGTTATGATTAATTTGTTAGTATCATTGAGGTGTCTATTAATACTAAAGTTACAGTACACTATCTTTTAATTTAGTTGTGATAATAATGTTGAAGGTGAGTGTGGTAATAAACATCTAATTTTTTTTTTTTTGTTGATTACTTATACATTGCCCGAAGAATATAGGCCTACATGAATCAATGAGATGATTAGCTTGCCTTTAAATTCCTTGTATGGTTAATACATACTGGTTATTAGAATAAGAATCATGTATCGCAACATTTACTACTTTACAACGTTGGAGATTCATATGTTGCAATGCATGGCAGATGCAGACTGTACTGTTTTAGCACAAGTCCACTATATCATGTCTAGACCCATTAATCAAGGACCTTACAATATTTACTATGTAGTATCATGTAATTACGCTTGTGTGTAGAAACTGACTTGTGAAGATGGAAAGCAGGCCTGTATTATCAACAGCTGAATAGTACAGTAAGGGGTAATACATCAAGTTGGACAGATACAGTATTAACATACAACTACTGCTATGATGATGATGATAATATTAGTAATAAAACAACATTTATATAATGCTTTGTGGATTCACATCCTTTTATTGTTTTACATTTAAATGTAATAATCTCCCTCCCTCCCCAAATATAAGCCAAATCATACTCCTCAATCTTAAGACTTGTTGGTCATTAACTCTAGTTAGCTCATATACCATTTATGAACTTGGTATTAATTATTTTATTTGTAAATATATTTAATTAATTATTTTATTTTTAAGTATTATATTTATATTTAATACAGCATATATGCTGTATGATGTGGATAGTCATGATTTAATGTTGCTACACAATGTAGAGATACATGAGGATGATAATGATAAAGATGATTTCAGGTAAAGAATACAACAAAACAATAAAACATCATTTTAATTTTTGGCAGTAGTCAGTCCAATGTATATATACTTTATGCGTGAGCATATTTTAAATGTTGACACTGGGCACACACTTAGACTTGGCAATGATTGGTAAAAACCTCCTTGACATTTGTTGGATATTCATTAAAGCTGTCATCCATGTTGTTATAAAAGATAAGAAATAAGATAATCAAATATTTAATCAAATATTTGATTCATGTTAATGTGATAAAGATATTCAAATTTGGATTGAAATCTTTTTATTATATGCTTTAATATTAATGTTTTTTTTATTTTTCTGAATCTACTTCCAAACATTATATTAGGTTTTACTATTGTTGGTGAATATCAATAAACTGAATTGAATTGTACATATACACTTGTAATTAATGACTAAAGGTTTATATTTTATATTTCTTGAACAGTTTGATTACTTTTAATTAATGCTATTTATGGAATAAATGTTCATGCACATAACATAAATAACTAATTTTCTCTGCATAAACTCACCTAGGGCCCGTTCAAATGAAAAAATATCCGTGCGATTTACCAGTTAATTCACCGGTACACACTTTCTTAAACCGCTCGGACACTAGTCTAATTACCTTACCATCTGGATTATCCACGACAATTTTGACTGCCAAATTGCTGGGTAGAATACCATGTATGGAATGACCATGGAGCTGGAGGCAATGATAAATCAACCTTAATTGATTTATCCAAATGTTTTGTCCACAGCTCCAACGCGAAATTCAGTAGGTTACGGCCCAGACGTGGTTGCAACTCTCCTTCGCCTCCTCACACATGCACGACTAAATTTAAATTATTAGCATAGCTACGCGATCGATTTGTAGATTTACAATTATTCGGAGAAATAAACTTGAATAATCTAGGCTACGTACAGATTTTAAAGTAGCCATTATAAATTAAGCTACATCATCATTCCACCGTGCCGCGCTGTGTGTACGTGGGCTGGTTATAGCAAGGAGGTATATCTCCATGGTTATAGCAGCAGTAGCAAGTAAACAAAGAATGGGTTGTTGACCATGGGATAAGTTGAAAATTACTTCTGGAGTAGTTTCGTTACACATATTTACCGTGAGCTAAAACTTAATTGAATGGTCAACCACCCGCTGAGTGCTCAGCGTGATTACCCGGTGAAATAAACGGAATGAATACGGTTGGAGTTTTTTTGCTCGAAACTGGCCCCTAGTTTTTATTCACTGGTCTTGCGTCCTGTACTGTAACTCTGATGATCTAGTAAGCAAGAATTATGGTTGTACAGTATTCCAAACTTACAAGGATTGTTACATTAATTAGTGATTTACTCCATGTAAAAATTACATTGGAGGTCAAATAATGATGTCACAACTGACCAATTATTTCTTAATTTTGTTTTATGTATTATTAGTTTGTTTAAATTATTTTCTTTTCTTTAAGGATGAGGTTGGTCTGATTCCTCGGATTTGTGAAGGGTTATGTAGTCGTGTTGATGACTTTGCAGAGGATGTCACCTGCCAGATTGAAGTCAGGTGCGTTAAGCCATCTTAATCTACTGTCAATGGTTCTTCCAATTCTGAAGTAGGACCCTGTGGACCGACGGTGGTCACAGGGCGGCACCTGCCATACCAATACTTTGGCAGTAAAATCTCTACTATTGTAACATAGCTTACTGGGTTATTTTTTGTGTACATATGCCATTATGCGCTTGTGACCAACAGCATAATGTCATATTCGAAGGATGATGGTGTATAGAATAACGTGTCTTTTGCAAGGACATGAAAAAGTACAGCATTGGCAGGTCTTAAATTCTGACCTGCCAAGTTTTAGTGCAGGTTACTTTTGAAACTTGGCATTAGTCAGGTCATCCTGGTACGTATCTCACGCATACTTACTTTAATTAATATGCTGGTCTTGTGAATCATAATATTGATATCTTTTCCTCTATATTTTTATATTCTCTTTTCATTTTATCATATTTGTATAATATTTAATTTTCAACATAATTTCATAATGTAGTCGACATACTTAAATTCTTTTAGATCTAAACTTTTCATTAAACTATATCCACATCAGTGTCCTTAAAGCAAAAACTGATTGAAAGAGGCCCTCAATAACTTTTACAAGATCATATAAACAATAATTTATATTTGATGAGCAAATTACATTATATTTATTGATTTAGGCATACTGTATATTGTAGGGCCAATAGCCAAGGATTGCCAATAGTAAATTTTATATTGTTATAAGTGGCAATCCATTTTAACATACCATACAGTATATCTCGTGTGCTCTACACAAAAGAAATATCATTATTATTATTTGAATGGAGTTGTTTTTGGAAAAATATCCTCTTGGTAGCATTAGAATCTAAGATCTTGGAATTAGAAGGCAAGCATATTAACACAGGATTGCAGATCCACTCAACAATAATGCTCAAAATACCTTTAAAATATACAAAATACAATAATGATAATGTAATCATCTGTATTTTTCTTATTGCAGTGGGTCCTTGTACGAGGTTGTTTTCATAGTTCTCCATTCAGTGTGACCTTGTGCCTTGCTCTTTATTATAGCGTAGCCACACCAATTCTAAATCATCCAATAATCCCTTTCTTATTCTGCCCCTTCTTCTCTTCCCTTCCAATCTTCCTTCAATTACATTTTTCAGCAAATTGCAATATAAATATGTAACATACTTTTAAATATATACATTAAACATGTAATGAAGCACCATTTGATAGGCAAGAAGAAGCTCAAGTAATTATATTACATTACAAGATGTCATCATATTAATGGTTATTAATTATAACACATTATTATTATTTTTATTCTTTTTAGCTATCTTGAGATCTATAATGAAAGGGTTCGTGATCTGTTGGCACCTGAGGACCTCTCACAATACACTCTTAAAGTGCGGGAACACCCGAAAGATGGACCTTACGTGCAAGGTAGGTAGTTAGATGTCTTTCTTTTTTCCCGATACCCAATCAACGTGGAGATATTGTTCTTCCTTGGGGTCCAAATAACAAATACTTCAGTTACAATACAAACAAAATGCTCATACAACATTGAATTCCAATTGTTGCTATGCTTTGTGGAAGTCTTATTAAGACAATGTGAACATTACATGAAAGTGAATCAAATCTTTTTTAATGAACTACAGTCAGTAGAAATTAATACTGTATTATATTATCTTATAAAAATATGACTTTAAACAAAAGCAGTCAGAGAGTTTAAATTGCATATGTAATATCATAATTTTTCCTTTCATGTTTATTGTTTTTCTGATCACCACATGCCATTATTTTGTTAGCCAATAGCCTATAATAGCACTTTAAACAAATTACTCTTTCATTTTTTATTTTTTTCTCTTTATCGAATGTCGAAACATTTGAAATAATGGCCCCTCTTTATTTGGAGATAACAAAAAGTTACATTTTCAGTTTCGTGAATACCTGGATGTAATTGCAGTTAGTGCCAAGTTTTTTTTTTTTAACTTGGCATTAATCACTTATCCATGTTAGTATGTATATTTTGCATAATCAAACTACTGAAATATATCAATCTTTATAGAATCCTAAATTCAAGGTCTCTATGTTTCACTTTAAAAGAAATGATACATCTATTTTGGTTTTTGAGAGATCAGCGATGTAATAATATTTATTGTGCTTTTCTACCACAATCAATCATTTATGGAACCATCTTATTTCTTTGTAAAGGAGGTTCTATCTGTGACATCATTGAAGAAAGAACCATTCTAAGAAATCTCTATGTTGTTATTATTAGATATTTTTTTCTTTTATTGCACTCCATTAAGCATTAATATGTTTTGAGCTTGTTATTACCTCTGTTTACTGGTGGTCAAAAATGACTTTTGGTTCCTTGCCTTTTTTCTGCTCTGTTTGATAGTGTTTTCTTTATTTCCATGGGGTATTTTAGAATGTGTCTGTTACTTTTGCTCTGAGATATGTTTATAGGTGCTATTGCATAAATATTATTATTTTTATATTACATTACTATGTTGCTACATCACTGTACCATGTGACATGGCCCAAGTAGCCATTATTACAGTATGAGCAACACCACAACTAACACACAGTTTTTGTAACTGTAAGATAACCTAATTAATTTTTAGCTCCCCATTTATTATTTACCTGATATATATTTAATTGTTCATTGTTCATGTAAAATTATGTTAGATCTTTATATACGTCAGTAAAAAAGCTATGGAGACTGTGGCTTAGATGACGTAAGCATTCCAGTATTATTGACAGAAGGAAGCATTGCCCAGTATTGAAGGGGTGTCATATAAAGCTTTAGTGTTCTGATGTCAGTATCGTGGTACCCATGAATAATACTTTTAAAGGTCATTTTGAAATTATTTTTATCACTGTTTCAGATTTATCTAAACATCTAGTAGGAGACCACATATCCGTACGAGAGCTGATAGAGCGAGGGAACGTCAACCGCACAACGGCGGCCACGCACATGCATGATGCTAGCAGTCGGTCACATGCCATCTTCACCATTAACTTCACTCAGGTATAAACAATTTTAATTAACAGAATTCTTCTTTTTGTGCATTCTGAGCATTTCTAAAAAAAATAATTTCATAAACTAAACCCTTAACACAGTTACTAGCAATAAAGTATTAAATCATTGTTAGGTAAGTTTGTAATTAATTAATCACCACTGTTGTAATTAACGAACTAAACTAATTAATAACACACATCTAATTATAATTTAACAGTGGACTATGAATAATGTAAATTGTAATTGGCTGTCTGTACATACAGTATTTCTTAGAAAGGTTGTTGACAAAATTAAATCCTTTAATGCCTGTATGAATAATAAATATGAAATTATATTTATATCAACATACTGTATAGTAGTTTATAACACTCCATCTTCAAAATTAACATCACTCTGGTGTAAACAATTTAATATAATCTCCGATTTGTTTAGCTTTTTTTTATATATATATTCCGCATGCTTTTTAATGAATTAATTAAACTAAACCAATGATTAAAATAATCAGTAGTATTTTAATGAGGTGGTTTATTTGTATTTCTATCAAAATTATACAGTGGACAAAAAAATTATGTAAAATGCTATTTGATACTAATTAGAAAAGCTGGAGCAATGTACTTTATATCTTTTATAGCCATTACAATATTTTTTAAAGGATATTGATTTTTGGATCAACATATTTAATGTATTCATACGTACATTTCTGTGTGTACATTACCCATAATGTTTGTATCCTATTTCTGGAATTAATAAACAGTTAATTTTGTATTCAATTTGATATATTAAACTATTTATAGCACTCTATCTTTACACTGTACATACATCTTAGAAGATGTGGTGCCAAATGTAATTCTTTTGAATATTATTGATTATTTATTTATGACAAACATTTCTGCCAACTTCCAGTACTTAATTTATTCATTGTGTACATTTTCAATACATTGTGTGTATTTTCAATGTGTACACTACTTTGCTGTGTGTTTGTAATAACGCTCATGTTTATGTAATTGATATTGATCTATTATATGTGAGGTGGGGGAGGAGGGTCACAGAAAATGTATGTTTTGTACTATTTTAAAAATGACCAAAGACAGCTGACACATTGTTAAAACTTGGTGCTTTGTCATTTGAGACTGTCCACACTATAGAATTTGATGTGACAGCTATGTGTGATTATTGGCATGATGAGGTCATATTACACCCAAATATAGACATGTCACATTTATTTGTCACATATTTGATAGTATGGACAGAGCTTTAGGTCAACACAGGTTACCTCTAGTGTGGACACTCAACATGTTCACACTGTCTGTGAAATAGCACCAGCCTTCATTCATATCTTGCATTAGTGTAAACAGAGCCTAATCTATCCAGATGACTTCAGGCAGAGTTGAATGGGTTGTCAATTGCTTTTGTGTTTTAAAGTTGCATTTGGCATTTGCCAAATTATATAAATAATTCCTTGACCAGATCCATATACCTATGCTAAAGAGAGGATGATCAACATTGTTTTTTACGTTCAAGATTCAAGATACAAGACACAAGATGCAGGAGTTTAGTTGTTCTGTAAGCCATCGAGGGCTATTGTTCACTTTAAATTACTGACATTAATAATAACACGTATTCATATTTAATTACCATTTTTAATGGAAAGTATAACATGAAGGTCAAATACCCAAATTTGTGGTTTTTAATTTGATGTATTAATGGGTTTTAAGTAAATCATTGGTTAATTGCCTATTAGTTCCCTCTTTGTTGTATTTGTTGCTGTGATTGAGCATAAAATAAAAACAAACAAACATAATGAATGATTTATTCATTGAAAATCAACATACAAATCATGGAATCTTGATAAAAAGTTTTAAACAGATATTGAAAAATTGCATGAAACTCAAACTATTTTGAAGTACAGTACAACCACTATAAAGAGGACACATTCAGAACTAAAAAAAATGTCCCCTTAATAGGGGTTTCCCCTGAATAGGGATTTGATGTTGTGTTAAAAGATGCATTTCCCTCACTTCATGGCCAAAAAAGTGTCCCTTTAATAGGGGTGTCCCAAAGGAGGTGTTCTGCTGCAGTTATGTAAGTTTCTGGAATATAGGGATGATTATTGTTAATTGTAGGATGTGGAACATAGAATAAATAAACAAACTAAATTCAAATTATGATACCATTGCATGGGAAGATGATGGAGTAGAGTATTTTGTCAAGAAAGTGAGAGGATCAATATTTTTTTAGTTTTAATTTGCTTAAAGAAATAGAAATCACATTTAGAGAGAATATTATAAACTGAGCATGCATATTCAACCGAGGTCTGGATGTATAGAGTAAATCAAAATGCCTAAATATATAATACTTTAGTATACATCAAAAATATCTGCTTACTGTCTTTGGCTAGAAAACGCTTTGTGGTATGTCTGTAAATGGTAACATTAAAACTGAGCATAGAACAATGTAAGAGCAATGTATGTAATATTTGCAACATAAAATTGTTACCATAAATTTACTTGGCACTCGCACTGTTAAATCAAAAATTCAGGTTGTTTGGTCCTACGGCCCCTTTTAATGCACACCTGTGTTTTATCAGATTCAACTACTGTATAAGGTACCATTTGTATACAGGTAATAATTGCATGTGTTGTGTAACAAAATAGATGTTCATGGCCTTATATTAGAGTTTTTATTTAATAGTTTTCTTTAATATACTGCATATTTGTATATGTAAGAGGGTTTAATATATTTATAGTTACAGTACTTCACTACATTGCAGTCAAGAACTTTTCCATCTCAAGGGCTGTATCCTTCATTCCCAGCACATAGAGGTTGTATTAATACAAAAATAAGCACTTTGTAAATCAAACAACCTTTATATTTTTAATGGTAATTTTTTTTTTATTGTATCTCTCCAGGCCACATTGAAAGACAACATGCCAAGTGAGGTAGTGAGTAAAATCAACCTGGTAGACTTAGCTGGAAGGTAAAGTCATGTAAACTTTAAGAAAGGACAGTGTCTCAGTACCATTGATCTAACTACCACTGCACTGTCCCACATTATATATGCCTATCTGTTCCTAGTAGCATAAGCCCCTGCTTCAAATTCTCTACTGCGAATGAACATTAATGTTTTGTAGATGAAGAGCCAGATTTAGCCTTCCTGGCAAACCTTCGCCACGTGCCAAGATCTTAATAGACAATCCCTTTTCCTTCCTTTGGACCGATTACAGGAAATATCAAAAGATGATTTAACTTACAGTGATTGACATAGTAAATGATTTGCAGAAATTTCTTTCTAAGAGGGAATTTAACTTTACCATCTGCATTGGAGCTGGTAGGGACCAATTGTGGTTATAATATTTTTAGGCGTGTACAAGACTCTCACATAATTTTGTTTGCAAAACCCATTTTTGATATGCTTTGCCAGACTTGTGAAGGGGATTTCATAGCTATTTATGTTCAGGATACATTGTGGATATACGTTTGCTAGACTTACGCAATGGATTGGCCAGGATTTTATTCTCAGGACCCATGGTGGGTGTATTGTGCTAGGCTTGTATAGAGGAACTTAAAGTATTCACTGTAACTCTCACAACCTTACAACCCTTTATGGGGATACTTAAGCAGGCTTATGCAGGAGGTCTAAACAGCAATTCCCCAGGCTTGTGCAAGGGGTCCCAAAGCCTTTTGTTTTCTGAGGACACATGGTGAATATATATTGTGGCACTTTGTTGCCAGGAGGTTTCACAGCATGTTTCCTCAGAAAAAAAAAAATTGGTGGGTGGGGAGAGGTGGGGGAATACTTAACAAGGTTAGCAAAAATATAATTTTGTTTTCAGGTCTTGTGATGGAAGATATTATACAAAGCTTTGTTTAGGGTCAACACAACGTCTTATTCTCATAAATTATTTCTTTTAATAAAGTGCATGGTTTTTCCATGTAAAAATGTCATCTACTATTCAAAAGATGGCTATCACATTTAATGCAAATATATATATTTTTTTGCCTTGACTTATACTTAACAATATTTTGTATGTATTTCTCTTATTTCAGTGAACGAGCCGACCCGAATTACAGCAGAGGACGATTGACAGAGGGTGCGAATATTAACAAGTCGCTGGTTACGCTCGGCAACTGCATCTCTGCATTAGGTGAGTTGGTATCACGTTTGTTAACCTATATAGCAAAGACTAGTTATTACGTCATGTCTTATTTTGAACACCTGATTGTACCTCAGGGCAACGTAGGTGTTTGTATAATTGATGCCAAAGAGACATTATATATTTCTTTAGATGTGAAAAATATAGTGTATATTTCATTGTATGTGAATATTGTAAGTTTAGTATTCAAAGAATTACGATACCATGAGATGGTGGCTAACAAAGGGAAATCTTCCCTGAACTTGTAGTGGTCAAGCTTACAGTATATAGCACTGTGTGCTAGTGTGTATACTCATCTGAATATTTGAATATCTGAATATTCAGTACTAAAAGTATGTATTATAATAATAATAATGAATAATATTTAATGATGAATACAGTACAGTAAACACACATGATATCTTAGGAAACATAATGCATGATGGGATTGGTGTTTTTAGAAATATATACTTGCATAATTTTTTTTTTTTTTTTTTTTTAATCTTTTTGTTATTAATATTGGAATATTTAAATTATAAAGAAATGTACTGAAAGAAGTAATTAAATATATATCAAAATAGTTTGGAAATAAAGAATATTTTTACATTAACAAATGTTTAATATGCAAAACACAATAGATAATATACATCATTGATGCAAACGTGATGTATATTTAATGGCATTAAAAATTAATAATGCATATTGGATATAATTTTTTATGCTTGAATATTTGACTCAAATCTGCATGATAACCTGGCAACTAAATAGAACATAGTTTCATAATAATATATATCATTACAGTAGAATTTGAAATGTTATGAAGGCATTTAACTTTTTTTTTTACAGTAAAGTAATTTTTGATTAGCTCTAGTAGTTAGACTTGTTTTAGAGATATTAATAGAACATATTTTAAGAAATTTCATATCAAGATATTTATTCAGAATATAATCAAAAATAATATCTATTTTTATTTATTTGGTTTTTTTTCGGTTTGAGGTTTATTTAGAGCACTCTGACAAAATACATATTATGTTTACTTTAATTATTTATTAATTATTATTAAGATATTTACATAAATATTTTATCATGAAATGTTGAGCATTATGGCTCAACATAATATACACAGTTCTCAAAAGGGCACCTTCTATTGGTGCCACCAATGCCGTAACCAGCTATTGGGACAGTCCCGACAGTCCCACACAATTTTTCTAATGGGTCCACAAAGAATGGGTCCACATTTTTAAAAATGGGACCAAAATATGTAATTTTATGCATAAAATGGGTCTACTTTTTGAAAAATGGGTCCAGATTTCTCATATTTAGCTTAAAATGGGTAAACTTTAAGAAAATTGGTCCAGATTAAGTGAAAAGTGGGTCCACCCTGATATTGTCCCGTACTGTTTAAAAATCTTGGCTACGGCATTGGGCGCCACCAATTCTCCGAGCCCTCAGCCTGCAAGCTATATCCATGTCGTGGAGTAATTTCCTTTAGAATAGATTATGACAAAAACCAAATACTGTATGGCTACGGCATTGGGCGCCACCAATTCTCCGAGCCCTCAGCCTGCAAGCTATATCCATGTCGTGGAGTAATTTCCTTTAGAATAGATTATGACAAAAACCAAATACTGTATGTATACACATACATTTCCAATACTTACATTTGTAGCAGATGGCGCTTTAGAATCCCGAACTGAGAGCCCCCCAGCTATGGCGTCTGCAGATAATGAATAAATTATTCAGTATACTGTAAAACCTCGCATAGAACCCCCATGGGCATAATCTTGAGAATCCCATCTCGAAAAGAAACCCCCCTTTTCAGTTTGCAAAAGTAATCGCGGAAAAAGCCTATCTCGAAAAGAAGCCTGTAGGCTTCTAATGAAGATATTATGGATTTCTTTCGCGATAGTACTTGCATTCAGACCAACGTTATCAAAGGTGATTATGATTGCATGTCAGTATCAATAGTATTTTATAGTGCTAGCATGGTTAAAATTTTAAATATATTGAATAAAGTTCAATTCAACAGTTGGAAAATGTTGTATAGTAGTAGCAATTTTTAAATTTAAAGCAGTCATTTTAAAAAGAAGCCCCCCCCGCCCCCACCCACTTTTTAGTTACAAAAGTAATCTAAAAATAAGCCCATCTCTAAAAGAGACCCATCTCAAATAGAAGCCCATTCAAGGGTCCTAAAAAAAGAAACAGGGCTTCTTCTGTTCTAGGTTTGACAGAATAGGATTTAGGCTCTTTATTGAAATGTTGTAATTCTGATCACATTGCTGTGTCTTTGAGCAAAGTATTTCACTGTTATTTTCTCGTTATAAGCTGACTACAGTATTTCAATGTGAACTTTGTTCAAATTTGTTGGATGGGGAGAGGTGGGATGATATTTGATGACCGGAAAATGTAAGCAGTAGTATTATATCAAATTATATTAAGCCAAGTAAAAAAAAAAACATGTTTCACGTCCGGCTTTTTTTTTAAATTGAGGAAGTGGCCTTTTTTATTTTTTATTTTTTATTTTTTATTTTTCAAAATGGCCGCCATTCTACAGACTTGTTGACATTTCCCATCTAGTTTTGTTCAACATATAAAATTTAGGAATCATTGTTACTGTATACAATCGGAATGTTCCCGATGTTACGTCTCAGACGTCTTCACATGAAACTATTCCATACAATCTGACATAGAGGGCCAATATAACGGGAAATTCCAGAATTCATCGGAAATCATCGGCCGTATTCGATTGGGACTTTCGTGCTCTGCTCAACAGAAACTGCTCAACGAAGTTAACGCTCGGAATTTATCGTTGAGTTTTTTACTCAACGGGATAACATACTCAACATATAGTCCCAATCGAATACGGCAATTGTATGCATGACAAACGCGCTCTAGTGAAGTGAACTCGAGGTTTGCCGCCTTACGCCCAGAGTAGACGACGACCTAGGCCTAGCCTAGAGATATCGGGCTAGCCTAGGCCTAGCCTAGGTAGAGATATTGGGCTAGCCTAGGCATAGCTTTACTATACGAAAGGTTAGACGAAGATATTGCACTATTTTAGGCCAGGGTA